AGGTCAAGCTCTGAGGATCTCTGAGGGGCACTTAATGAGTGCCCCATTATGGACGTGATGAATTTCATCCTTCTATCTGTAGGAAGGAGATCAGTGAGATGATTCTGCATTTCTCAGATGGGGCAAACTGTAACCTCGAAAGGGGAAGAGACACCAACTTGTGTCTAGGGACTGAACATCTATGGTCATCTATTAGTGGTAGCCTAAGAGATAATACCCCTAAGAAGAGGGAAAAAAGCAGGAGACAACATCTTCTAACTTCCATTTCCTTCCCTCACTTCTCTGTAGATGCGATGCTGTGGTGTCACTGACTTCACAGACTGGTTTCCTGTGCTGGGAGAGAATACAGTCCCTGATCGCTGTTGCATGGAGAATTCCCAGGACTGTGGGCGCAACTCTACCACCCTTGTGTGGAAAACAGTAAGGACTAGAAATCAAACCTTCCTTAAATCCCACCTTCCTCCTAGGAATCAGTGGGTGAATCTAGGTCAGATCTGATTAGTGAGGGAAGACTAGGACATTAAGGCAAGAAGGAAACAAGTGACCAGTCCCATTTGGCCTCAGGTTCCCTTTTGCAGCCCATATGAGGCTGGGACTAGGTTCAGGTAAGTAGAGGGCAGACCATATGGGCATGGCCTGAGATTAGAAGAGTAAGGCTAGACACCAAAGGAAATAAAGTGATACAAGAAAGAACTAAGTCAGGGCTGGGCATGGTGCCAAGTAGGGTATAGTAGGGTCCTAATTGTGAAGCATTGTAGTGGAAAGGGTAAGTTCTTCCACTTACCAAACTGTGTGACCTGTAGAAAGTCACCTCAACTCTCTGGTCTCACTTTCCTGATCTGTAAACTAGATAATTTATGAGGTCCCTTCCAGCAATAACATTCTGAGATTTTGTTCTTAGAGCAGGGTGGGAATAGGAGTAGAGACTGAGGGAGATACCAAAAGAAGCAGAGTGAAAGGACGGGGGAAAGGATATGGGGCAGAGAGCTGAGGAATGGACTTATGCCCAGTTGCCAGCTGATGTAACCTGACCCCATTTGAACCTCTCTCCTCAGGGCTGTTACGAGAAGGTAAAGACATGGTTTGATGACAACAAACACGTTTTGGGCACAGTGGGGATGTGCATTCTCATCATGCAGGTATGATATAGGTTACCTTTTCCTCCCACGCCCTCTATTCCATCCTAGGGTTGAGGAGCACAGTAGACTTAGAGGGCATTGGCTATCTTTTCTTCCCATTTATTTTAGAATGTTAATTTCTAGACTTTAATCTCTAAAAACTAAAAACAATGATTGTATTTCAGACACACATTAACAAATAGCAATAGTGTCTGTGTGATGCTAGCAGTAAGCTGTAGGACTGAATGATTATAATTATTGAGGAGGAAGAAGATGACGGTGGTGATGGTGATGATGACAATGGCAATGGCATTATATTTACCCACAGCTTCACAGTAGGGCATGAAATTACTAATAAAAAGTTTTATCAGTTTTCTCTTTGATGTAAACCTGATCCCATTATTCTTAACAAAAGCCATTACCAAAAGATGAGAACACTAGTGACCCCTCCAATTACATATTTATGTGCTTTATACAAAGCTTTCACAGCTTGTATCTCTCAAAAAATCTATAAACTCTTTCAGAAAATCAATATTTTGATTCAGGAGCAAAAAAGTTGTGCTAAAAAGTCTCAGGGGTATAAAGAGCAACTCATTATCAATTCAGTGATTATTGATCGAGACATTTGAAAGTGCCATAAAATTTTTACCTCTTTTGTTGATTATCACAAAGCCTTTGACTCAGTTCCACACTCATGGCACTAAGTCATGTACTGCAAATAAATGAAATTGACAGTACTGAATATGCTAGACCCTTCTCTGTTTAAAATATGCCACAAACACACTGTCAAGGACAATTGACATAAAAGGTAACATCTTCTAGAGGTCGGTTAGTATTAAATCCCCTGCTCAACAGAACAGAGTTTGGCTTTCTAGTCAAATAGAGAGTTATACCAAAACATAATAATCACTTGCCTATACATGGCTCCACTGAGGAACCCATTAAATGGATACTTCATCTTGTGGCAACTTTCCCAAATGATATCAAAATGTCATTTGGACTCAACAGATGTAAAATTCTTAAATGTACATTAAGGAAGAATAGAGACCAAAGGCTTTGAGTTTGAGTTCAGAGCTGAAATTGAGCCAATGGAAGGCAGTACTTTCATGTTCCTTGGTCTTCTCCAGATGAGAGTCTTTGAGCATGACTTTCAAGGAGTCTCAAGGAGGCTGAGTAAGTTAAGAGACTGACTAGAACCATAGAGGGGTGAAGTCAAAACTTGATAGGAAGTACACATTTAGAACATTAACACCTACATAATATCAACCTTATATATTTTTGGCATGGTAAAATGGATAACAATGGATCTAGAAGGTGTCCAGACAAAATCTTCTATAATGTTAATGAAACACCAGGCTGAAGGCAGCAATGGAAAGATTAACATTTCCTTGCCCAAAAGGAGGAAAAGGATCAATATTTTCCAAGTACAAGATAAACAGATTTTAAAATAGTTACAGAAATACTTTTGGAACAAATAGACCTTACTTCATAAAACAATAGTAAAAGCTGACAACAGAGATATGCCATTGGATTTGTCCAATGTAACTGAAAGTGGTTTATCTTTATGGAGCGTATGAAATGGTTAAGATTCAAGAATAAAATCAAAAGTCACTCAATGAACAACATCCTCATAAATTCAACCAGTATTATGTCACCATTGACATATTAGACATGTGTCTGCATCATGTCAATTTGTCTATAGAAACAGAGGGGCTTATGAGAGTGATTGAGGATTGGGCCATTGACATGAAAAATTACAAAAAAGTCTCCTTAAGTTGATCATCCTTACAATATTGCTGTTAACTGTGTACAGTGTTCTCTTGGTTCTGCTTACATTGCTTGGCCAGTTTATATTAGTCTTCCCAGGTTCTTCTGAAACCATTCCCCTTGTTATTTTTTATAGCACATTAGTATTCCATCATAATCATGTACTACAACTTCTAATGGGTGCTTCTAATCTCAGGTCTTCCACCTTTTTTGTCTTTTAGATTCTAGGCATGGCCTTCTCCATGACACTCTTCCAGCACATCCACCGAACTGGTAAAAAATATGATGCCTAAGCCAACTGGCTGGGAGTGCCATCCATACTCTTTCTACACCAGGGAAGAATTGTGCTTTTGTAGCCTCCTGAACACCAGACTGCCATCCCTTCCTATGCATAACCCAACCTAGTCCTGTCCAACAGATTGACGCCCCCACCCTTCCTGAATCATCCATAGACTTCTTTGTAGGGTGGGCAGGGTGGGTAGGGAGAGTGGGAAGGAAACCTCAGGAGATGGGAAGTTGTGTGTGTGTGTTGGGGGTGGGGGGTGGGACTTTTCTGCATCCACATCTGTTTCTTTGCCAAAGAAGATGGAGGGATGGGGAGAGGATGAGGTAGAGTGATGGGAGATGCTGAAAGAGCAAACTCCAATATGACACTAATCCCTCCTTAGCTCTCCTTTACCTCCTGTCCTTCTTCTACGCACTGACACTTTGCCTGACCCATAGGGGAAGAGGATAAGGAGGAGGAGGCGGACCCCAAGCCTTGCTGGGGGCTTCTTCCTCTTCACTTCCCTGCCCCTTTTCAAGGGACACAGCCTCTTCTATTTCTGCTTATAGCCACACCTCGCCCCCACCTCTAGTCTGGAGACCTGGAAGACTAAATGGGAGGGAGGGACAGGGAGGCCCAACCATTTTAAGTAAGGGGCCCCAGGCAATGTTCTTTCTGAGGCATTTTGTACCCTATGATGTATCTTTTTTATCATTTTATTTTATCCTAATTTTGATCATTTGGGATCAGTATTCCCCAAATACCTTTAGGGTTAGCTTTCTGATCTATAACTTTTTACTATATTGGTTTCTTTGACTTCTTGGTTTTTTGGTGGGGGGTGGTGATGGGTGGGAGGGTATCCATTTGGTTTTAATCTGGGAAGAAACACTGCAACGCTTGGGAGGACCTTGGTAAAGATATATTAGATTTTTTCTTTTCTTTTTTTTTGCGGTATAGAGAGGATGAGATTAGCTGGCTGTGCTGAGAAAGCTAGGACTTGGCTCAGTTCCTTTACCTCTGTGAGGATCTAGACAGGAGGGTCCGTGGTTCTCTCAAGGACTTTCCTCTGGGGCTTGGAGTCTTTTGCTCCCAGTATTTTGGCTTTTGTGAAGTGAAGCAAGTTCAGGGGTCAAGCAAGAGGCAAAGAGGATCCAGTACCAGTGCCAATGGAAGACAGAACCAATTGGGATGTGAGTTGGGTGGGAACGGGGGGGGGGGAAGGGGGGCGGTAGGGAGGTGATAAGGGAGCTTGCAGTATTTTTTGCTAATCTCTTTACCAGGAACTATGGCCTGAGCTAGGATAAATCTGCTGCTGTTTTTGTTTTTGTTTTTGTCTTTACTTTTTGTCTTTGTCTTTTTTTTTATCCTTCCCTCCCAACCATCTTTGGCATGGGAGACTCTCCCTTCACTCCATTCGGTCATTCCCACATCAAATTCCCAGACTTCCCCTTTTTTCCCCCTAAACATTCCTGTTAGAACTTTTGATCATATACCTCGGTAGTTCATATGCTGCATTTCTCACATATTGCTGCTTTTCACAAAGGAAAGGACAGATGGAGGGTGTTAAAAGGGATCTCGGAGGTTGTCTAGGACAATTCCCTGACTTGACAAAGGAATATGAAGCCCAAACAGATTCAGAATCTGCTCCCCCAGGTAACAGGGCCCTAAATATACCTTTGAATCCCCAGATACATGGCTAGGTGAGTTAATTCCCCAAGGGTTATCTGGAGTATTATCTTAGTGAGAGATCTCCAGTGCTTGATAGTATCAGAAATCTAGTCTCTCTCCCGTGGGTTTGTAGAATGGAGTGATAATGCTCCATCATAATCATAGGACACACTCCTCTCCATTCCCTATTTCTAATCGAGGAGGAATTAATACAAAATGAAACATGAAAACGACCAATGTACATCCATTAAAAAAATATAGAAGAGTAAAACTCAATTCATAGTGTTTGCAAAGCTATGCAAAAATGAAAAGGGACTAGTGGAAAATTTGACCTCAGCAAACCCCCTCCTCCACCCCCCACCCCTAACCCCTCTTTGTTGGTTCTACTAACCAACCCTGGGAAAAGTCTGAGAATCCCACAGAAGAGGGCTCCTATGATCTGGGTTCCTCATAGGCTCACACACTAGGGCCAGGTCAGTGATCCGGTTTTCATCTATCTTTCCTTTTTATTACCTGAGAAATGCCAGCACAACCAACAAATCCCTGACCATTGGTTTACTATAAATGTCATACAAATTGGGACCAGGAGTGCAAATGTTCTGGTTTGGCCAAAGCTTCCTTCCTTTCCCCCTTTCCTTCCCCCCACCCCCAATCTGCTTGCCAGGGTTAGTGGTGATGGGGTCTCTCAAAGGTGGAGTGTAGGAGTCGTATCCTCTTTAGGACAAAATACCATGGCAATGATAAAAGATGCTGCTATTAGAGAGATAACTTCCTCACCATCAAACCAAGAATGGCAAGGTCTAATTCTTTCATGTTTGTCTTTTAAAATTTTTTATTTTCTCCCCTTATTCCCTCCCCTCTCCACCTGTCCCCTCCCCCTCTACCTGTCACCTTCCTTCTCCCCTTATTCTCTCCCCCTCCCTTTGTTCTTTCCCTTCTCCCCTTGTTCCTTCCCCTTTCTTTCTCTTCCCTCTCCTCTCCCCCTATTCCCTACCCCCCATCCTTACTCTCCTTCATACCTCCATTACTAGCTTTTCTTTGGCCTTTTTTTTTTCCTGGTAAGGAGTTTCAGTTACCTGCTTGAGCAACTTATCCAACCTGGTGGGAGATAACACAGAAGAGAGACTTTGGTGCACTGGTTTTTGATGCACAGAGTTGGATCTGGTGTATCTTAAGTTTTTGGCATAAAATGGTTTTGGTTATTCCTATTGATGCAATTTTAAATTAGTGTTAACTTCAGCAGCAAGAATGCCTAGAGCAGTGGTGGCATTGTGCCTCCCTGTATGACTTATTTTTTTTCTGGGAGGCTTCATGGGCCTTTTCCTAGCTTGTCAGCAGCCAGAGTCTCTCCCTTTCCTTCTTTCCTGTCTGCTTTCTCCTTTTGATGTGTTCACTCCATTGAAGTCTCCCTAAGCATGGCTATTCAACCACTTTCCCAGTCTACATTAGAGCAAATTCCCTTTGGATAGGTGTTCTCATTGCTTCTTTAAGCAGATGGGTTGCTCCATGCTGCCTATCCCATAGAACCAGTGATACCACCGGAGGTCAATGATGCTCAGTTGAGGATCATTCTATGGGACAGTTTGGAATGAACATCTAATTTCCTTTGCCAAAGATGTAAGTTGACTTAGTCAACTCTGGTGGTGGCATTTACAAACCTACTGCCCCCAAAATACTTCTCCCCCTTCCCACCCCCCACCGCCAATAAATAAATAAATTAATCAACAGTATTTGAGTTGTTTAGATAACTCAAAGGAATAAGTGATTTCAGAAGGTCCCAGAGTGAGTTTTAGGCCTAATGTAGACATAACGTTTCCCCAAAACATTTCAGCTTTATTTAAGTTGTATTCCTCATACAGAGGAGGGCCAGGAAGGGGAGTGTGAGATATAGGTGGGGGAAAAGATTCAAAACGTAGAGATAGGGACTGTTTAGAGCAGGGATTCAGCAGTCTGTGGCATGCACATCACTGCCACTGCTCCTCTTAGGAGAGTCAGTACTCAGAGCCCCCTCCCCTAGTTCCTGTCTTGTAAACACATGCCAACCCCTAAACTAAAATACGTCCTGCTTCACTCTAGACCTTGACCTCCAGTTCTACAGCCTCTCTTTGCCTCATCTTGGATCTTTGAGCCTCCAGTGGCTCAAAAGAACTGATGTGTTTTTCCCCTCTCTAGTCCCCTGACCACCCTCAGGTGGAGGTGCTAATGCACAGGGACACAGCAACAGGAGGGGAAGGGGTGTGTCCTTTGGCCTCCCTGAGTCTATCCTCTCTGCCTCTCATTCAGTCTCCTCCCTGCTCCTTTTTCCCTTCCATCTACAACAAAGCAATATTCCTCAAGGTGAGGAACCCTAGCCTCCTTACCATCTCACTTCAACTTGCAGGACTTTTCTAAAGAGGCATTGGGTAATAGATGACTCCCACCTCCCACCCTCTCCAAATCCCCCTAGCCTTCCCATGGGGGCAGTAAGGGAAAATAGGCTTGTTGGTTTCTGACGCACTTTTCTGCTTGCAATGGTCTGTCTGTGCTTTTCCTCCTTCCTGCCTGGCTTTTGTTATTTAATGCCACATTTTTAGCATGTTTTTAAATAAAAATGGATAATTTGAGTCAAAAGTACAGCACAGTGTGTTCCCCACATGACTTGATATTTCTTGACCTCCCTCTAAGCACTAAGAACTCTCCCATAGGTGGTGGTCCCTATTCTCTGGGAAATTTCCTTCTTTTGGGTACGCTGTGTTTTCACTGAATTTTGCCCAGCATATATAGTATTGTGGAGTTTCTTCTTCACAGGAGAGGATAAAATCTAGCTGTATTGTTGGGCCTGTGGAGTTCAAGCCAAGTGGGTTGAACTCCAGAGCAGAACAGGAAAGCCTGGGTCACTCTTACAGAGTGAGCACAATGGGATACACGTGGGACAGGCCAGCCATCTACACTGTAGACTAGGCACTCTGCATGAAGAGCCTGGTCTTGTGGGGAGGTTTCAGAGGGATGAGGAGATACCACTGGGACTTTCTTTAGTAAAGGAAGAGTTGTCAGACTGTTATTGTCATGACTCTGGTGGTCTTCTCTTCTGTGCAAACTTCTCAACATCCCTGGGAAGGTGGGGCATGGTGTCATGACTATAGAGCAGTTTGGGGTAGGGCACTGGGGGACTTGTTTAAGGACCAGTGTTTTCAAGGCCTCAGCACACCTTCTAGCCATGCAAACCCAAACACCTCCCCACTTTACCAAGCAGTTTCGTAGACTGCATTGCCCAAAAAATGTATCACTTCTTGGTCGGCTTTCCAATGCTGAGCCTTTCTCTCCATTTAAGCAGGCTGGTCTCTAGACAATTGATAAACAGTCCATTATTGGGCCCATGCTTGGGGCCTTTCCACTTGGCTAGGACCTGCCTGTGCTTCTGCTTTGCTAGCATAGCCTTTGAGAACCTTGGGTCCCCTTCTACCATGATGAGGTATTTAAGGATGTTATTGGAGGAGTAACAGGTAGTGATAAAAGCACCTACCAAAAAGCCTCAGTTCAGTCCTGCTTGAAGAATTCTGAAACAGAAAAAGGTAGATAAGAATTCAGAGAGCCCCCTTAAGTTCTGTGTGTTTTTTAAGGAACAGCCTTATAAACCCAGATTCAGATTAGACCATGGGGCAGGGACTCCTGCTGCCTGATGGCCAGAAGGGCAGGTCTCTCCAGTCTGATTTCTTCCAGGCTCTTTTGTACTTTTCATTCTGCTCCTGCATCTACCCTGGGGCTCTTATATGACCCTTGGTGCTCAGCTCTTTCTATGCAATATCTACCTGAGCCTTTGTACTGGGGATTTTGTATCAGCTTGACTTACAGAAATAAATAATCTTAAACTAAGATGTGTCTGTGCTCCCATTATCTTTTCTAATCCCTCTCAACTTTTTGGACAAAACACATATCCCATGCTCCATGGCTGAGTGCAAGAGTTCGACAAGAATGTGTCCATGTTCTTCCCCACATGGTGACACAAGGTATATTCACATGTTTGTGTATAACACACTTGTCTTTGCACTATAGCATGTGCCTACTTGGTATTTCAGAAGAAACCAGGTGGGGCTAGATAATGCCAAGCAAAAATTCAAGTTTAATGACCCAAGGTGCTCTGCAATGGATAGGTGATCTCAGGCGTGGTACTCCCTCCACAGGTACAAAGCCCAGCACACCCATACCTTCTCAGTCTGTGTGGTTCTCCACATCCCCTAGGTGTTATGACATTTCATAAGAAACAGGGCAGCACCTGGGCTATCCATCTGTTGTTACTAGAGGCAACATGGTATCACTTGGTTCAAATTACTGTGAGCTTTCTGAAGACAGGGAATTTCATTTTTTTTCTTCATGTGTCTCTAGTGCCTTACACATAATAGATGCTTAATAAATGCTAGAGTTGAATAAGATGGGGGGCTTTGTGTGAGTTTAGGAGAGAAACTTGAGACGGTTGAAAGTGTTGCATAATATCATTAATAAACATTGACTCAAAAATTTAAAACAAAATCCTATCAAACAGACTTTAGGGATTTATCCAAGAAATCATTCATTATGATGAAGTGGGATTTATACCAAGGATGCAAGGATGGTTTATCATTAGGAAAACAATCAACATAATCATATTAAAAACCAAAACACCCCAAACCACATTATCATCTCAATAGATGCAGAAAAACCTTTGACAATATATGAACTCTTTTTAGGCTAAAAACCCTACAAAATATAGACATGGATGATCTTTTTTAATAATATTTTTTCCAATGAAATATAAAGATAGCTTTCAACATTCTTTTTTTTTTAAAATAAGATTTTGAGTTCCAAATTTTTCTCCCTCCCCTCCTGCCTCCCCAAAACAGCAAGCAATCTGATATAGGTTATGCATGTGCAATCATGTTGAACATATTGTCACATTAGTCATGTTATGAAAGAAGAAACAGAACAAAAAGGACGAACTGCAAAAAAAAAAAAGTGAAAATAGTTTGCTTTGATCTGCAGTCAGACTCCATAAGCATTTTCCATTGTGAGTCTTTTGGAATTGTCTTGGATCGTTGTATTGCCGAGAAGAGGTAAGTCTATTATAGGTGATCTTTGCATAATGTTACTGTTACTGTGTGCAATGTTCTCCTGGTTCTGCTCACTTCACTCAGCATTAGTTCATGTAAGTCCAGGGTTTTCTGCAATCCACCTGCTCATCATTTCTCATAACACATTATATTCATATCCCACAATTTGTTCATCCATTCCTCAGTCGATGGGCATTCCCTTAATTTCCATTTCTTTGCCACCACAGAAAGAGCTGCCATAAATTTTTTTGTACATGTAGGTCCGTTTCCCTTTTTTATGATCTGTTTGGGATACTGGATGGTCCTTTTTTAATAACATACAGCATCTATCTTCAACAAAAAGCAAACATCACATAACAATGGGGAGACACTAGAGCCTTTTCCAATAAATACAGGAGTGAAGCAAAAATACCCACTGTTCTCACTATTATTTTATATAGTTCTGGAAATGCTAGCAAAGTGATAAGACAAGAGAAAGAAATTAAAGAAATAAAGATAGGTAAAGAGAAGGTAAGCTTTGTGTTTGCTGATAATACAATGGTTTACTTGGAAAATCCTGGGGAATCAACAAATTGAGACAATCAATTAACTGAGACAATAGCGTCAGCAAAGTTGCAGGCTATAAAAATTAATCCCCCCAAATCAACAGCATTTGTATATAATAACAACAAAACATAGGAAACAATAGGAAATCTCATTCCAAATAATTTCAAAATACATAAAATATTTGGAGGTAGCCTCCTATAATACATAACAGACTTGTATAGATTTGATTACAAAGTGCCCCTTGAAGAAATAGAGAACAGCCTAAATAGCTGGAG